TCCTGATATTGGGAGAGCGTTCCAGGCGGCCGCAGAGGTGCATCTCGAAGCACCGGGGGCAACGCGGTGACCGCCTCTATTCAACGGTTCGCCAAAAGCCGGACCCCCGTGCGATGGCGTACACTCCTTGAGGTTAGCGAGGTGTTGCGTTGAGTTTGTGATGATCGCCTTTGTGTGCGGCGAGCCCGACAGGACGCCAATGCAGCTTGCCGAGCATTGGACGGGCACACGGTGAGACCTCGCAGCAGCGCCCCGTCACGGCACTCACCGGGCAATTTTGTACGTGCTGCGGCTTGCCAGACGTCCCGTAGAGTAGCGAGTTGCAATAATGGAGCCTTTTCTACGACACCACGCTGCGCGCCGCCGCGTTGGCTGCGTCACGACTCAATAGTGGTGGAATGTGTCGTGGAGCCCTGATATGAACATTTGAGGACCTGACGAAATGTTTGCACGCGGTTGATCAAATTTTATATTTCAATTGAGTATGGTGCCGAGGCTCTTTAGATGCGTAGGAAGCTGAGTCCCGGAGTCCGTGAGCGCTACACCTGATCGTCCCACTAATGTTTTCGCCTAAGCCCGAGTGCCTCCTTACTTTCCTGGATTCAGCAGCGTCTCGTTTCGTGCAAACCACGCGGCGTGCACCGCGGTTACCGAGGCTTTCCATAACCAACTTTGACTTGGCCGTGGTGTACAGTCGTGCGTTATCACCACGTCCGTGGAACTTGGCGTCATGTGACGAGACGACGTCGGGGATCGGAGAGAGACGTTTGTTCAAAATAGGAAGGGCCCGAGGGTGGACCACTGTGGTACGCCGGCTAGGTACGGCACAGGCGATGACTGTTCGTCGCCCGGCTTGACGAACTGCGATCGACCGTGTAGAGTAGCTACAACTCAATCCACACCAGTGCCGTACCCGAGTATCTCACGGTCGATGGTGTAGAAGGCGGCTGAGAGATTAAGGCCAACCAACGCTGTGGCGTGCCGGTCATCCGTAATGTTGTAGAGGGCATCGGTGGTCTTGTAGAGGTCACCGGTGGTCTTGTAGAAGTCACCGGTGATCTTCTAGAGGTCATCGGTGATTTTGAAGAGGTCATCGGTGATTTTGAAGGTCATCGGTGATCTTGTAGAGGTCATCGGTGATCTTCTAGAGGTCATCGGTGATCTTGTAGAGGTCATCAGTGATTTTGAAGAGGTCATCGGTGATCTTGTAGAAGTCATCGGTGATCTTCTAGAGGTCATCGGTGATCTTGTAGAGGTCATCGGTGATCTTGTAGAGGTCGTCCGTGATCTTGTAGAGGTCATCGGTGATCTTGTAGAGGTCGTCCGTGATTTTGTAGAGGTCATCGGTGATTTTGTAGAGGTCATCGGTGATCTTGTAGAGGTCATCGGTGATCTTGTAGAGGTCGTCCGTGATCTTGTAGAGGTCATCGGTGATTTTGTAGAGGTCATCCGTGATCTTGTAGCGGTCATCCGTGTTCTTGTAGAGGTCATCGGTGATCTTGTAGAGGTCATCGGTGATCTTGTAGAGGTTATCGGTGCTGTGGCACCTCCGGTACGCTGACTGCAACGGGGTTGAATCTGACCATCGCAGCGACGTGGGGACATCGCGACCGCTTGAGACGCAGGCGCTCCGTGACCTCTGACGTCGTACTCAGGTTTGAGATTGGGGACGACAGTTTGCAGGGTCTCTCTCTCTATATATATACATAAACAGGTAGTCCCTGACTTACGATGGTCTGACTTACGATATTTCGATCTTACAATGGCGATAGCGATACGACAAAATAGTAAAATATTTCTAGTTTCACGCGGCAGGCAAACGCAGCGGCGTACTACGAGGTACGAGACTGTAACTTGATCATCGCCATCCTCCTCTTCCGACAACTAAGTTAATGTGGCCATCAACAACCCAACATCGTTCAAGTATGCAGACGGACAGAATCTTGGCGAGTACAGTAGAATGTGATACGTTACGATACGTTCAATGCGTGTACGATACGTAGCTTTAGCGATTGCATTTTAGGGTTATCACGATACAATACGTACGTTCAATGCATGTTAAACGTTTTTATAGCAGAGAGGATTGTTTCCTGAAGAAACTTCATATGAAATTGCAGTTCATATAGGTAGGCTAAGAATTTACCTTGTTTTTTACTTTACATTTTACCGTGCAATACAGTATTGTAATAAATACACAGTATATCGTTTATACAGTACGGTACTGTAATTTGCTGTTTTTCTAAATTATCACCATTCTTTAAGACTCCTGGGTAGGCTAGGCCATTTTCTACTTACGATATTTTCGACTTACGATGAGGGTGGTCGTAACGCTTCTCCACCGTAAGTTGGGGACTACCTGTATATTTATAGTAGCGGGAAGTACCTGGGTCTTAAAAATATTTCAAAACTACTCTTAAAAATCTAACAGCAGTGCGTACTGACTGTGGTGGTACCTATGATTACAGCATTGCATGCTGTGGTGGTACCTGCTTTCACTGCAGCGGTGAATACTGTGATGGTACCTGCTCTGATTACAGTAGTGCATACCGACTGTGGTGGTACCTGCTATGATTATAGCAGTGCATACCGACTGTGGTGGTACCTGCTATGATTACAGCAGTGCATACCGACTGTGGTGGTACCTGCTCTGATTACAGCAGTGCATACCAACTGTGGTGGTACCTGCTATGATTACAGCAGTGCATACTGTGGTGGAACCTATGATTACAGCAGTGCATACTGTGGTGGTGAACCTCTATGATTACAGCAGTGCATACCGACTGTGGTGGTACCTGCTATCACTAAAGTAGTACATGATGACTCTATAGCAGTATTTATCGACCCTATAGCACAAAGTACTCACCTGACAGAGTGGCGTGGTGAGGCCTAGTCGCGTGCAGAGCCTCCGGCCTCGCCTAGATTGTTCAGCCGGCCGAAGTGGCACCTTGGCAGGATGGGGCTGGGCTGCTACCCCTGACCCCCCACCCACCCCCCCCCAGCCACGATCTCCCCGGCCACTCTGCAGTAATATCTACGGCCTTCAGTGGTAGCATCTAGCGACTGTGTCGATTAGTAACTGCACATATCGGCGAGGGGGGGTACATCACACAGTGAAGATTTAAGCTCAGCGTTTAGTGTATTTTTAAAGCATTTTTAACGCAAAGGAAAATGTCCCCCTCACTCCCACCGAAGGCGTGCGACTTGGCATGGGCCGTCCGCCCCCCCCCCACCAAAGGCGCGCGAGTTGGTACGGTCGTGCAGGCGTGATAAATAAATCAATTAAATATAAGCGCGCAAAAATCTCACAAACTCGCTAATGATACTAATCAAAAGTTGACATGTGAAAAAGGAATAGCGCTTGCTCACCGCGGGGCTTACGGCGTGGTACCTGGCTATTGTTTTTTTTACGTAAACCCCACCGTTGAAGAGCCAAGCGCGCGACCACACACAAACCCACACACAAACCCACAAACCCACACACAAACCCCACCACAAACCCACACACAAACCCATACACAAACCCACACACAAACCCACGCACAAACCTACACACAAACCCACAAACAAACCCACACACAAACCCACAAACCCACACACAAACCCACGCACAAACCCACGCACAAACCCCGCCACAAACCCACAAACCCACAAACCCACACACAAACCCCGCCACAAACCCACAAACAAACCCACACACAAACCCACAAACCCACACACAAACCCACGCACAAACCCACGCACAAACCCCGCCATAAACCCACAAACCCACACACAAACCCACGCACAAACCCACGCACAAACCCCGCCACAAACCCACAAACCCACGCACAAACCCACGCACAAACCCACGCACAAACCCACACACAAGCACACGCACAAACCCTGCCACAATTTTTGATTGAAGATTGACTCAGGGCAACTTTTTGTTCGGGAGCGGTGCTGCCTGCTCCATTTCGACGCCGGTCTGGGGGAAGCAAACCCCTCGCTCAACGAGAGATTTTGCAGCGCAGCGCCAACGCCGGAGCACGGTTACCGAATGGACGACGCGGATGCGGCGTCCATTCCTTCGGCAGCCGTGGCGACGAACATCGGCGTCCCGCCTCCTGCCACCGACGTCGACGGCGCCAGGGTCTCGAGTGTTTTGTCGCATCGGGCCCCAGGTTGATAGAAAAAAACTCACGAGGGCCCCGGGCCGGGAGAACGCCGCTGCCTCCGCCAAGCGAGAAACCGCCGCCTCGATCTTCGCTCTTTGAATTGGCGGAGAACGTCGCGAGAGGCGTGCACAGACCCCGGGTTGACCGGTTGATGGGGCGGTCGCAGTGCAGCGGAACCCTTCGCGACGTGCCACGGAGGCACGAGGGTGGGGTCGCGAGCCGACTCATTCACGTTTTAATCGCGTTATTATTTTTTATTGTCGCTGTGTGCAGTTCCAGTTGTGCGCAAATTGCGCCTGCAGTGATGCAGGGTGACCGTGACACGAGGAATATCTGTGAGCCACTCGTAGGTCTATATGCGAGTCTGTGGGTCTCTGTGTGAGTCTATGGGTCTCTGAATGAGTCTACACATCTCTGTGTGAGTCTGTAGGTCTTTGTGTGTCTATGGGTCTCTGAATGAGTCTACATGTCTCTGGGTGAGTCTGTAGGTCTCTGGGTGAGTCTGTAGGTCTCTGTGTGAGTCTATGAGTCTCTGAATGAGTTCACATCTCTGGGTGAGTCTGTAGGTCTCTGTGTGAGTCTATGGGTCTCTGAATGAGTCTACACGTCTCTGGGTGAGTCTGTAGGTCTCTGTGTGAGTCTATGGGTCTCTAAATGAGTCTACACGTCTCTGAGTGAGTCTGTAGGTCTCTGTGTGAGTCTATGGGTCTCTAAATGAGTCTATGGGTCTCTGTGTGAGTCTATGGGTCTCTGAATGAGTCTACACGTCTCTGTGTGAGTCTGTTGGTCTCTGTGTGAGTCTATGGGTCTCTGAATGAGTCTACACGTCTCTGGGTGAGTATGTAGGTCTCTGTGTGAGTCTATGGGTCTCTGAATGAGTCTACACGTCTCTGGGTGAGTCTGTAGGTCTCTGTGTGAGTCTATGGGTCTCTGAGTGAGTCTACACGTCTCTGTGTGAGTCTGTGGGTCTGGAACAACAACCCGTGAGGCACCCAGTGACCTTGCACCTGAATCAGCTCCCCAGCGAGCGGAGCAAAATGTCGGACATCATGCCAAGCTACACGCTAACCGCACGCAAGCGACATGCGTGCCATGCGGCGTGCAAACCGTAGCGCCACCAAGCCTCGCCTGAAAAACACGTGGCGCCGTGTTGTGAGAGGGCGAGGGGGGGGGGGGCTCTAGCAGGTGGAGTGGAAGACCCCCCCCACCCGGGGGGAGCCCCCCCCGCGCCCACCCGTGGCGGCAGCGGTGGCACCGCCGACGATGAGGCGGTTGTACTCGTCCACGGCTCGCTCCGTGGGCAGCACGAGCAGCCTGACCCCGTGGGCGCGGACAAACTCCTGGGTGGCGCGGGGCACCTGCACGGACCCACGGCGAGCACGCCACGAATATTAATAACGACTACGGACTACTGTGCACAGCTACTATTACTTACTGCTACAAAGCACCACAGCTACTGCAACCGCCACGACCGCTACAGCTACGGCAACGACTCCTACTAACCACTACGACAGCCACTGCTACTTCTGTTAACTACTACTGCTGCTGCTACAGCTGCTGCTAATTACTACTACTCTTAAGTGCTACTGCGACGACTGCAACTGCAACAGAAACAACAACAGCCATCGCCGTTCGCCGCTAAGTGGCGGTGACGTCGCCATGGCACCTGTGCCAAGCCAGGTGCACGTTGAGCCCACGTGAAGTGTGGAAGACACTCTGACAGGTCACGGAACAGATCCAGGTGCCATGGGACAGCTGACTGAGATGACTGGCAGATGAACCACCACATGTGCCCCCTACTGTGCCAACTTGCTGTGTTTTATCCACCCGGCGCTCCGCTCGTTGTTGTGAGCGTCGCTCCTCTGCCCTCCGTTGTTGCTGGAGGGCGACTGCCTCCAACTGCCCAGTAACAGCGTCCTTCACGAGCTTCCTCCACAGAGGCCGATCTTGACACCGCTGGTACCAGCCATCGGAAAATCCACTCAGCTCCACAACCTCCCGTACCGCATCAGTAAATCTCTTCTCTAGCCCGTGTCATGCCCATTTAGCCCCATCTATCCAGCCAAACAAAAGCTGCTTGGGCATGCGGTGGTTGGGCATGCAGGCTACATGACCCAGCCAACACAGCGTCGCTTACTGGAGGAGCTCACCGATGGGACTTTCTCCAGATATTTCAAAGATCTGAGTTCCTCACACAATCCGGCCTGGTTAAACCCAGGATGAACCGTAGGCAGGCCAGCCTGACTATTTACAATCGGCGAAGATGTTCCTTTAGGGGAGGGTCCACGTTTCACAAGCATAGGGAACGGAGGGCATGACCATGGCTGAGAAGACCTGAAGCTTCATGTGGAATGGCAGGCCAGGTAACTTCCACACAGCATTGCGCAGCCTATTAAACGATAACTCTGCCCAACTGATTCTGAGTAAGACCTGTGCTGTCAAACCGGAGTTGGTCATAAGCACACTGCCCAGGTACGAAAACCTCTCCACTCTCTCCACAACTGCCCGATCACTGATTGGGAGGTGTGGGGTTGAAGTTTTTGATAACACAAAATACCCAGGCAGGTGCTTAGCTTTGGTGGGGATGATGGAAGCCCCCAACTCTTAGTGGCAAGCTCCAGGTTCAGCAGCAGCACCTCCAACTACTCAGAGTGAGCAGCAATAAGCACATCGTTAGCATACATATATAACATGATTGATCAATAGGCAGCCATCCCGTGATCGCTCCCGGGCATCGATCGGCCTCCAAATGTATCTTTACCAGATGGATATTCCTCCAGCACAGCCATGGAAAGCTTCTCGAACTACGTGGTTAAAGATGATGCAAAATAATGTGGGAGTCAGAGGACATCCCTGTCGCACCCTAAGATTAAAAGGGAATGGCTCCGACTCCCAGCCACGTGGTTTTACCCGGGCCTGCCTACCATCCTGAAGGTCCTCAATGAATATGAGCAAAGTCAGGGACCCCCAAAGCATGTAGAACAACGCAGAGCCTAGGCATACTTATGGCATCATAGCCATTGACCAGATCAATAAAGCAGAGATGTAGGTCCTGTTGAAATTCACAACAGGGTGGGTGGCAGGCACCCCGCCCAACCACCTTTGTCTCCCTAGTGGCGGCATATTTACACACCGCGCCAAGTACTGACGTGAGGCTGAGTCGAACTAGGGGAGGCCCAATACCAGGTGAGACATAAATCACGGGTGTTGGCTGTGAGCGGGAATAGAACTCGGGTCTCTGCCGGGTTCAGAGCACAGCGTAGTGCTAACCACACACACCTCATGCTCCGTGCCGGCATTCACAGGCAACTGCTACCAGCTAACAGCACTTGCCCCCAGAAAGCTGGGTGGACTACCCGGGGCACATTTGTCTATGTGTGTGTGTTGCACTCATGGGCTGAAGAAGAGATGGAGCTGATGCGGTACAGGAAGATGCGGAACGGAGTAGACCCGCCGATGACTCGTACCAGCGGTGTCAAGATCGGCCTCTATGGAGGAGGAGGATGCTCGTGAAGGACGCTGCTACTACTGGGCAGTTGGAGGCAGTCACCCTCCAGCAACAATGAAGGGCAGAGATTCCTCCAGCGCGCCTGGTGGCTAAAAACACAGAAAGTTGGCACAGTAGGGGCCACAGGTGGTGCATCGGCCACTCATCTCAGTCAGCTGACCCACGGCACCTGGGTACGTCCAATAACCTCCTGCCAGCAGAGAGCCATCGACACTTCACATGGCCTCGAAGTGCACCTGGCCGGGCACAAGGCACCGTGGTGACGTCGCCGCCACTCAGTGGCTAATGGCTGCTGTTGTAATTATTGTTGAGTTTGTTGTTGTTGTTGTTGTTGCGCTCACCTGCAGGGCTTGGTTCATACCGCAACCGATGACGAGGGTCTCGATGCCGGCATCCAGCACCTCCTGCAGGTCGGCCGGCTGCACGCCGGGCCGGTGCTGTAACACAGCACAGTGGGGAGTGGACGCCCCTTCGACTGTATGCAGCTAAGTGGCTTACAACGCGGATTTACTTACTTAAAAGGTGGGACGTCACTTTTCGAGTCCATGGGTCTCTGTGTGAGTCTATGAGTATCTGTGTGAGTCCATGGGTCTCTGTGTGAGTCTATGAGTATCTGTGTGAGTGTATGGGTTTCTGTGTAAGTCTGTGAGTCTATGGGTCTTTGTGTGAGTCTATGGGTCTCTGTGTGAGTCTATGAGTATCTGTGTGAGTGTATGGGTTTCTGTGTAAGTCTATGTGAGTCTATGGGTCTCTGTGTGAGTCTATGGGTCTCTGTGTGAGTCTATGGGTATCTGTGTGAGTCTACGGGTATCTGAGTGAGTCTATGGGTCTCCGTGTGAGTCTATGGGTCTCTGTGTGAGTCTATGGGTATCTGTGTGAGTCTATGGGTCTCTGTGTGAGTCTATGGGTATCTGTATGAGTCTATGGCTCTGTGTGAGTCTACACGTCTCTGTGTAAGTCTATGGGTATCTGTGTGAGTCTATGGGTATCTGTGTGAGTCTATGGGTCTCTGTGTAAGTCTATGTGTTCCCCAGACTTGGTAGCTGCTGGAACTACTGCTGCTACTAATATTGCTGCTAATACTACTGCTACTACTGCTGCTCTTACTGCTCCGACTATTAATGCTACAACTACTGCTGCTACTACTACCGCTAATAGTACTGATACTACTATTACTACTACTGCTACTACTCTTGCTACTACTACTGCTACGACTCCTGCGACTGCTACTTCCCTTGCTACTACTCCTACTGCTACTCCTGCTGATACTACTACAGCTAATCACTGCTACTACTACTGCTACTACAGCTACTAATACTGCTACTACTACAGTTACTACTACTACTGCTACTACTACTGCTACTACTACTGCTACTACAGCTACTACTACTGCTACTACTACTGCTACTACAGCTACTACTACTGCTACTACTACTACAGCTACTACTACTGCTACTACTACAGCTACTACTACCGCTACTACTACAACAGCTACTACAGCTACTACTACTACAGCTACTGCTGCTACTACTGCTACTACTACTGCTACTACAGCTACTACTGCTGCTATTACCACAGCTACTACTACTACAGCTACTACTGCTGCTACTACTACAGCTACTACTACTACAGCTACTACTACTACAGTTACTACTACTGCTACTACAGCTGCTACTACAGCTGCTACTACTATTACAGCTACTACTACTCCTGCTACTACAGCTACTACTACTACAGCTACTACTGCTGCTACTGCTACTACTACAGCTACTACTGCTGCTACTCCTGCTACTACTGCTGTTACTGCTACTACTACTGCTACTACTACAGCTGCTACTACTACAGCTACTACTACAGGTACTAGTACTACAGCTACTACTACAGGTACTACTACTACAGCTACTACTACTACAGCTACTGCTACTACAGCTACTACTACAACTACTACTACAGCTACTACAGCTACTACTACTACAGCTACTACAGCTACTACTACTACAGTTACTACTGCTACTACTACTACTACAGCTACTACTGCTACTACAGCTACTACTACTGCTACTACAGCTACTACTACTACAGCTACTACAGCTGCTACTACTACAGCTACTACTACAGCTACTGCTACTACAGATACTACAGCTACTACTACTACTACAGCTACTACTACTACAGCTACTACTACTACAGCTACTACTACTACAGCTACTATTACTACAGCTACTACTACTACAGCTACTACAGCTACAGCTACTACAGCTACTACTACTACAGCTACTACTACAGCTACTACTACTACAGCTACTGCTACTACTACTACAGCTGCTACTACTACAGCTACTACTACAGCTACTACTGCTACTACCACTACAGCTACTACTACAGCTACTACTACTACAGCTACTACTACTACTACAGCTACTACTACAGCTACTACTACTACAGCTACTACTACAGCTAGTACTACTACAGCTACTACTACAGCTACTACTACTACAGCTACTACTACAGCTACTACTACTACAGCTACTGCTACTACAGCTGCTACTCCTGCTATGCTACTCCTGCTACTGCTGCCACTACTCCTGCTACTCCTGCTATGCTACTCCTGCTACTGCTACAGCTGCTACTACTCCTGCGACTGCTTCTACTGCTGCAGGGGCAAGGACGAGGAGGGTGAGGAGGGTGAGGGTGAGGAGGAGGGTGAGGAGGGTGAGGGTGAGGAGGGTGAGGGTGAGGGTGAGGAGGAGGGTGAGGAGGGTGAGGGTGAGGAAGGTGAGGGTGAGGAGGGTGAGGGTGAGGAGGAGGGTGAGGAGGGTGAGGGTGAGGAGGAGGGTGAGGAGGGTGAGGGTGAGGAGGGTGAGGAGGAGGGTGAGGGTGAGGAGGAGGGTGAGGAGGGTGAGGAGGAGGGTGAGGGTGAGGAGGGTGAGGGTGAGAGTGAGGGTGAGGAGGGTGAGGGTGAGGAGGGTGAGGGTGAGGAGGAGGGTGAGGAGGGTGAGGGTGAGGAGGAGGGTGAGGAGGGTGAGGGTGAGGAGGGTGAGGAGGAGGGTGAGGGTGAGGAGGAGGGTGAGGAGGGTGAGGAGGAGGGTGAGGGTGAGGAGGGTGAGGAGGGTGAGGGTGAGGAGGAGGGTGAGGAGGGTGAGGGTGAGGAGGGTGAGGGTGAGGAGGAGGGTGAGGAGGGTGAGGGTGAGGAGGGTGAGGAGGAGGGTGAGGGTGAGGAGGAGGGTGAGGAGGGTGAGGAGGAGGGTGAGGGTGAGGAGGGTGAGGGTGAGAGTGAGGGTGAGGAGGGTGAGGGTGAGGAGGGTGAGGGTGAGGAGGAGGGTGAGGAGGGTGAGGGTGAGGAGGAGGGTGAGGAGGGTGAGGGTGAGGAGGGTGAGGAGGAGGGTGAGGGTGAGGAGGAGGGTGAGGAGGGTGAGGAGGAGGGTGAGGGTGAGGAGGGTGAGGAGGGTGAGGGTGAGGAGGAGGGTGAGGAGGGTGAGGGTGAGGAGGGTGAGGGTGAGGAGGAGGGTGAGGAGGGTGAGGGTGAGGAGGGTGAGGAGGAGGGTGAGGGTGAGGAGGAGGGTGAGGAGGGTGAGGAGGAGGGTGAGGGTGAGGAGGAGGGTGAGGGTCTGACGTCTGTGCCGGTCTCTCGCCAGTCCCAGGCCCGGCTCCCGCCAGGCCACAGCTTGCAGTCCTTGTAGACGCAGCTGGCGCCAGAGACACGCAGCTCCCCCCACCGCAGCGCCTCCACTCGCGGAGACGCCATCCCTGGTTACTGACACAGACACACGCGGGGTGGACACACGTGGGGTGGACACACGTGGGGTGGACACACGTGGGGTGGACACACGTGGGGTGGACACACGTGGGGTGGACACACGTGGGGTGGACACACGTGGGGTGGACACACGTGGGGTGGACACACGTGGGGTGGACACACGTGGGGTGGACACTGACACACACACGAGGTGGACACACGCGAGGTGGACACTGACACACACGCGAGGTGGACACTAACACACACACGTGGGGTGGACACTGACACACACACGAGGTGGACACACGCGAGGTGGACACTGACTGATTGACTCCTCACCACTTCGCGATGCGCAGTTTCCAACTCCGAGTAGATCACGTGGGGGTATGGCGGAAGTGACGTCACGGATACATGTCAACAGCGCTGCCTGGGGGGGGGGCACGCGGGGCGGGGGAGCACGGGGAGGGGTCACGTGGGAGGGGGGAGCACGTGGGGGGGGAGCACGTGGGGGGGAGGGGTCACGTGGGAGGGGGGAGCACGTGGGGGGGAGGGGACACGTGGGAGGGGGGAGCACGTGGGAGGGAGGGGACACGTGGGGGGGGGACACGTGGGAGGGGTGGAGCACGTGGGGATGGAGCACGTGGGGGGGGGGGGGCACGTGGGAGGGGGGGACACGTGGGAGGGGTGGGGCACGTGGGAGGGGGGAGCTGTTGGGGGGGGGGTTTGAGCACGTGGGGGGGGGGGGACCACGTGGAGGTGGCGGTGCACGTGAGGAGGGGAGGGCACGTGGGGAGGAGGGACATGTGGGGGGTTTGAGCACGTGGGGAGGGAGCACGTGGGGAGGGGGAGCACGTGGGGAGGAGAGAGCACGTGGGGGTTTGAGCACGTGTGTTGAGCATGTGGGGGGGGAGCACGTGGGGGAGCACGTGGGGGGGGAGCACGTGGGGGGGGGCACGTGGGGGGGAGCACGTGGGGGGGGGAGCACGTGGGGGGGGAGCACGTGGGGCAGCACGTGGGGAGGGAGCACGTGGGGGAGCTCGTGCGGGGGGGGGGGGTGTCACTGAGCGCGTGCCCCCGATTGGACATCTCTAACCAAAGCGCTTCATAGTTCATCGGATTCCTGCTGCTGTTGCTGCAGTTTGATTGGCGCGGCCGCGTTCAGCATCAATAAATCGGGTGACCTCCAACTCCCCTCGTTTGCAGGAGGTCGTGGGGTCAATCCCGACCCTGACGATGCCTGCTGCTGCTGTATACTGGGATTCTGCGTTTCTCTCTCTCATCATCATCACGGTGGCTATGAGATGTTGACTACCTCGCCTGGTATACAGGAGGTCGTGGGGTCAATCTCGACCCTGACGATGCCTGCTGCTGTATACTGGGATTCTGCGTTTCTCTCATCATCATCACGGTGGCTATGAGATGTTGACTACCTCGCCTGGTATACAGGAGGTCGTGGGTTCAATTCCGACCCTGACGATGCCTACTGCTGCTCCTGCTGCTGCTACTGCTACTACTACTGCTGCTACTACTGCTGCTGCTGCTACTGCTGCTGCTACTGCTGCTGCTGCTACTGCTACTACTACTGCTGCTACTACTGCTGCTGCTACTACTGCTGCTACTGCTACTACTGCTGCTGCTACTGCTGCTACTGCTACTACTACTGCTGCTACTGCTGCTGCTACTACTGCTGCTGCTACTACTGCTGCTACTGCTACTACTGCTGCTGCTACTGCTGCTACTGCTGCTGCTACTGCTACTACTACTGCTGCTACTACTGCTGCTGCTACTACTGCTGCTACTGTTACTACTGCTGCTGCTACTGCTGCTACTGCTACTGCTGCTACTGCTGCTGCTACTACTGCTGCTGCTACTGCTGCTACTACTACTGCTACTACTGCTGCTACTACTGCTGTTGCTACTACTGCTGCTACTGCTGCTACTACTACTACTGCTGCTACTGCTGCTGCTGCTACTGCTGCTACTGCTGCTGCTACTACTGCTGCTACTGCTACTACTGCTGCTGCTACTACTACTGCTGCTGCTACTACTACTGCTACTACTGCTGCTGCTACTGCTGCTGCTACTACTGCTGCTACTGCTGCTGCTACTACTGCTGCTGCTACTGCTACTACTACTGCTGCTACTACTACTGCTGCTACTGCTGCTGCTGTATATTTGGAGTCTGCTTCTCTCCCCGTGGTCGCGTGGATTTTTCTCCCGGACCTCCGGTTTTTTCCCCTCCACATTGAGAATCAACATCGCCACGCGTTTACGAGTTATTTGGCTGCTGCTATAAATGTTACGTGATGATGATGACGACAATCCGCCACTTGGTTGAGCTATCATTTGTGGTGGCCGTGTCGCTTCTGAACAAGAACTATACAGCTCAGTTGGGGCCTCTTTAAGTGGTAAAATAAAAAATGTTAATCGTCGTTTAAGTTTAATAGTTTTGCGCGGACTAAGGCCGATCAGATATTCATGTTTTTCTGCCGTACGGCTGCTGATGTTAGATGCAGAGGCTGCAGAGCGATAACAGAGGTTTTTTTTTGGGTTAGATCGTGTAAATATATAAATGTTGTGTCGTTAAACCCGCCACCACCCGACACAGCCCTATTAGTAAGGGTTGTCACGTGAACAGAACATGCCAATTCAGTTCAGTTAATTTCAGTTTCATTTATTAGGTATATAGCCCTGTGAGCCATGCGGCTCTTGAATCGGGTGCAGCCGCAACAAACACAAACATGAACAAGGAAACATCTTAAAGTGACTACGCGCAACAGAAAAATCCAGGAAGAAACAGCAAAGTCTTCCAGAAAAAGCACCGCGTAACAACGCTGTGTGCAAAAATCCCAGTGGGATGCAAGTCAAACAACAACAACCATAAGACAATTTAGATTCAAGTTAGCAGTCGAACTCTGTACTACAACAGACAAATATGGCTAATCCAAAACGTTTTCTCAACCACCAAAATAAAGCTATAAAAACAACGTAACCGTGATCATAGGAACTGTGATTCAAATTGAACAATAAACTACATAAATAACATGTGCGACCAAACTTTGTAGCCACAGCTGGATGCATGAGTCACTCCATAACAGCAGGAGTATCAGTAGCAGTATCAAACATTTTCAATGCACCTTTAAATATCAGCGCACTATAATCAAAACTCAAGATCATACTTTGCAGCGGTCATCCGGAGCGAAACATTTGATTTGATTTCAGGCCATTCTGAATAGCAGTGGCAGCTAGGGGTGTACAACTCCTCTAGAGCAGTTTTGAGTGAAGATCTCATAGGTAGCGATCCAAGTTGCAGTTTATCGGCGATAGCATTCCAGACCCTGGGGGCATCAATAGCAAAGGCCCTTTCTCCGGTTTTGTACGGCAATAGGGAATGTAAAGCTGGTAAATGAGCGAAGACCTGAGGTTAAATTTACACACAGTCACTCACGCACTCACACAGTCACTCACTCACTCACACAGTCACTCACTCACTCACACAGTCACTCACCCACTCACACAGTCACTCACCCACTCACACAGTCACTCACCCACTCACACAGTCACTCACCCACTCACACAGTCACTCACCCACTCACACACCCACTCACCCACTCACACACCCACTCACACAGCCACTCACCCACTCACACAGCCACTCACCCACTCACACAGTCACTCACACAGTCACTCACCCACTCACACAGTCACTCACTCGTGTAGTCACTCACCCACTCACTCACCCACCCTCCAATCAGCGCGGTTCGTTACGTACGGTGCGAAATAAGTTCAACATACGGTGCGTACCTATGTCGAACTGTTCTGGATGACCACAGTGGCATACTGGAGAGCCGTTTCAATTTTCTATTCTTGCGCCAGGTTGAGAGCCGTTTGACTGCTGCTATAAATGTCCACGTGATGATGATGATACAGCCAATTTGATGAGCTGTCGTTTGTGAGTTCGCTTCTGACAAAGATCCCCACAGAAAAATATTGACTTAAAGCTTTCGTAACTGCAGGAATACCTGTTCCGTGGCTCTTTCGGTAAAGCCACGTAGATAGAAACATTAATATCACGACGTTTCGATCGCAACACAAAGCAATCGTCTTCTCGCGCCTGAAGACGATTGCTTTGTGTTGCGATCGTAAACGTCCGTGATATTTTGGATTATTTTTTCTATCTACGTGGCTTTACCGAAAGAGCCATGTAATATCGCTCCACAGCACCTCGGTGGGACCTTATCTGGTGAAATAAAAAGAGTGAATCAGGTATCTGCTGCTGCCATGGTTTGTGCAGTGGACGATGCTGTTTAGGGTGGACCATGAGCAGCACCGTGGATGATCAACCCCCCCCCCAGGTGATATTCTACTCTTGCAGCGTTGATAGGAGACACGAACGCCCGACTTGCGAACATCACGCACTCATGAACTTGCCCAAACCTTGGCTCCGAACTCGTCACGTGTCACGGGAGCGGTCCTCCGTGACACGTGACGAGTCCCAGCGGTGAAGTGTTCGACTCCAGGTGAGTGAAAATGAAACAGATGTTTTTTTTCATGTTACTTTACTTCACGATATATTTACCATGCAGTATTTATTACAGGGTTGAGGTGGGTCTTGCCCGTGAATGGCAGCAAGGTATCAGACAGAAAACGGGCCAGTTTGTAGTAGGTAGGTGAGTTGATGGTGGAACCGATGGGCCGAAGTGGACTGCCTTCTTCACGGATTTTTGGAAGACCATAGAAGCTGGGTGGTCTGGCAGCAGAAGGTTTTAGGGAGAGCCGTTTGCATGGTTCGATTCGAGAAACCGAACTGGTAGTGGTATTATATTCTTGGTTCTTTCGGTAAAGTCACGTAGAAGGGAAGCAATAAAATAATAATAAAAATATCTGTATTATATATTTTTATTTTTTTATTTTATTGTTTCCCTTCTTATTATTATTTTATTGTTTCCCTGCAGTCACGAAAGCTTTAAATCAAAATGTGGTAATGATATTGTTGGTTTTTGTAGCCAGGCGGTTGGTGGGATTTTTGTTGATTTTGGTGCAACTGCCATTTCAGCAATTTGTTCTTGCTGTGTTGCGATCGAAACGTCGTGATTTGTTTTTATTTTATCTCTAACTACGTGACTTTACCGAAAGAACCAAAGAGTTTGTATACAATATAGTCTTCCCAGAGCTTGAGCTGCGGGGGAAAATTCACAGACAACTGCAACTAAACTAGAAACTATTTTATATTTTATCAGGTGTAAGAGGACCACGCTGAGCTGCTACGTGGCACTTTTTCAGAAGCGACTTGGCCATCAAAAATGATGGCAGCTCAACCAAGTGGCAGCGCATCATCATCATCATTATAGTCATCATCATCGTCATCATCATCGTCAACATCATCGTCATCATCATCGTCAACATCATCGTCAACATCATCATCAT